CTGAGGACACTTCTCCTGAAAGCCTTCGAAATCATTGCCTGCTGCCAAAGCATGGCTTGCTTCCAGCCAAGAGAAGCTGCAAGAAGCAAAAGCCAAGGTGAAAACTCACCATGCATTGCTGTAGGAGCTGTTTGGCCCTTAGATTTTGGAAAGCGCATTTGGTGCAGTTGTCAGTTTTGGAATGTGGAAATGCAGATTAAAATATCGCAGGGATCTGCTTGGAAGATGGGCAGCTGGTAACTGTCGCTGGAAAAAGAGCCTGCTTCTAAGCTGGTGTACAAGACTCAAGGAGGTGTAAGATCTCCTTTACTGCTTCCCTCTTTCAAAGCATTGGCCAAATTTAGCATTAACTAAATACAATGTGTAACTTCTTGTCTTCTGAGATCTTATGAACTTTTATGTTGACATGTTTTTCCAGCTCAAGCCATGTTTCACAAGAGAAAGGTAGATTTGTCTACCCTTAGGGAACCTGACCAGAAGAGGTTTCGACACAATGTTTCCAATTTGTTTTTGACCAAGACTGTCTCTGCTAGAAGAGCCAATGAGCTCATGAAAGATGCACAAATAGCTGGAGCCACTGGTGTGAAAGATTTGGTCAAAGGTGCAGAGAAATCTGGCAGTGGTGAGAAGCAAGCCAATTGGGAAAAGAATTTGGCAAGGGATATGAAAAGAAAAATGCTGAAGAATTGCCTGTGGTTCAATGAATACATTGCATTGATCCCTTGCTACAATCCTGGAACACAAGCAGAAGAGATGAAGAAGATACCTTTTCTTTTGCCACATGAAATTCTTTTTGTCTTCTCGAAGCGCTCTGAGAAGAAAGACTTGCTGCAGACTGGTGGCATGTGTGAACTCAGCAAGAAACATTTGGCGAACATGCAAATGCAGTTCCAAGTTCGAGAAGCCATAGGACTTGGCCTTTGGATCGATGGCACACCGTACAATTATGACAGAAGTCAAACTTTGGGATGCATCTCATTGAATTTTCCTGGCTTACTTCCACCTAATGGTACTTTGCGAATCCCTTTGTGCCGTATTCCAAAGCACTGGTGCATCAAGGGAGTAACTTTGTCGAAGATGTTAGGAATTTTGTCTTGGTCTTTTATTCACTTAGCCAATTGCACTTGGCCTTCAGCAAGGCATGATGGCAGCTTTTGGCACCCAGGCGACAAAAAACGAAGCACATTCAATGGCAAGGCATTGCCTTTCACTGCTTTTTTACTTGAAGTGAGAGGTGATTGGGCTATGAGAAAAGAAGTTTTCCAATTTCCTGGATGGCGAGACAAACAAGGATGCTGCCATTTGTGCTTGTGCAAACCAATTGAAATTCGAAACTTTAAAAGCTGCAAGGCATTTGATCCTTTGGACCATTTCACTTTGTTGCAATCCATTTCCAATTCTGGCATTGACATCAATGAATTGTTTCAAACACCAGGACTGACAAGCAAACAATTTCTTTTGGACTGGCTTCACATTGTGGACTTGGGCGTGGCAGCAGATTTTATGGGCAATGTTTTTCACCATTTAATTGCCTCTGGAAATCACTTGCCTGGCAACAATGTCAAAGAAAGGGTGAAAAGCTTGTTCCACAGAATTCAAAGCTACTACAAGACTGAAGGTGTGGAAAACAAGCTTCCTACTTTGACAGTCCTCATGACCAGAAAGAAAGCCAGTTCAAGTCCAAAACTTCGAGCCAAAGCTGCAGAAGCTCGAGGGTTGATTGCTTTTGCAAAACAAATCTGCGATGAATTTTTGGATGATGACAATGTGCTTGAATATACAATCAAGATGGCTGCCACAGAACTGTGGCAATGTTATTCTTTCTTGTCCAAGAATCTATGGAATCACCAGTCAATGCTGCTGCATGGCAGAAAGTTTTTGCTGTTGTGCAAGAGCTTGGAAAACGAGACTGACCATACTTGGAAGATCAAACCAAAGCACCACAGCTTCTTAGATTTATTGCTCCAGAACTCTTGTCCATCAGACAGTTGGACATATCGGGACGAAGACTTTGGTGGCTTCCTAGCTCACTTAGGAGCTGTGAAAGGTGGAAGCCACAATCCTTATTCCATAGGCATGAGTGTTCTGCAAAGTTTTCGAGCACAAGTGATTCCAGAGCTGAAGTGAAAAGTTTTGCTGCCAGGATCTGGGATAATGAGGTTCCAAGTCTCCTGCTGAAGGAGGTGCAAGATCTCCTTGCAATTGAAAATTTAAGGAGGAATTTTAAGGAGGAATTTTTCAAAAATTCCACCTTAATTTAAGGAGGAATTTTAAGGAGGAATTCCTTAAATAAGGAGGAATTCCTTAAATAAGGAGGAATGGAAGTTCTGTAGTAGTAGTCGTAGTAGTCGTCGTAGTAGTAGTAGTCGTCGTAGTAGTAGTAGTCGTAGTAGTCGTAGTCGTAGTAGTCGTAGTAGTCGTAGTCGTAGTAGTCGTAGTCGTAGTCGTAGTCGTAGTCGTCGTAGTAGTAGTCGTAGTCGTAGTCGTAGTCGTAGTAGTAGTAGTCGTAGTCGTAGTATAGTAGTAGTCGTAGTCGTAGTCGTAGTCGTAGTCGTCGTAGTAGTAGTCGTAGTCGTAGTCGTAGTCGTAGTCGTAGTCGTAGTAGTAGTAGTAGTAGTCGTAGTATAGTAGTATAGTAGTATAGTAGTATAGTAGTATAGTAGTATAGTAGTATAGTAGTATAGTAGTATAGTAGTATAGTAGTATAGTAGTATAGTAGTATAGTAGTATAGTAGTATAGTAGTATAGTAGTATAGTAGTATAGTAGTATAGTAATATAGTAGTATAGTAGTATAGTAGTATAGTAGTATAGTAGTATAGTAGTATAGTAGTATAGTAGTATAGTAGTATAGTAGTATAGTAGTAGTAGTAGTCGTCGTCGTAGTCGTAGTCGTAGTAGTAGTCGTAGTAGTCGTAGAGTAGTCGAGTAGTCGTAGAGTAGTCGTAGAGTAGTCGTAGAGTAGTCGTAGAGTAGTCGTAGAGTAGTCGTAGAGTAGTCGTAGAGTAGTCGTAGTAGTTAGTCGTAATAGTCGTAGTAGTAGTAGTATAGTCGTCGTCGTCGTAGCAGTAGTAGTAAAGTGGTAGTAGTAGTAGTAGTAGTAGTCGTAGTAGTCGTAGTAGTCGTAGTAGTCGTCGTAGTAGTCGTAGAGTAGTCGTAGAGTAGTCGTAGAGTAGTCGTAGAGTAGTCGTAGAGTAGTCGTAGAGTAGTCGTAGAGTAGTCGCAGAGTAGTCGTAGAGTAGTCGTAGAGTAGTCGTAGAGTAGTCGTAGAGTAGTCGTAGAGTAGTCGTAGTAGTTAGTCGTAATAGTCGTAGTAGTATAGTAGTCGTCGTCGTCGTAGCAGTAGTAGTAGTAGTAAAGTGGTAGTAGTAGTAGTAGTAGTAGTAGTAGTAGCAGTAGTAGTAGTAGTCGTCGTAGTAGTGGTAGTAGCAGTAGCAGTAGCAGTAGCAGTAGCAGTAGCGGTAGTAGTAGTAGTAGTAGTAGTAGTAGTCGTCGTCGTCGTAGTAGTGGTAGTAGCAGTAGCAGTAGCAGTAGCAGTAGCAGCAGCAGCAGCAGTAGCAGTAGCAGCAGCAGCAGCAGTTGTTGTTGTTGTTGTTGTTAGTCGTAGTGAATAGTTAGTTAGTAGTAGTTAGTAGTAGGAATGGGTATGGATATACAGGAGATATGTTCCCCGCCCCCCCTGTGGGTGGGTAGGGGGGTGGGGGAGGTTAGTAGTAGTTAGTAGTATGTAGTAGAGAGTAGTAGTTGGTAGTAGGAATGGGTATGGATATACAGGAGCTATGTTCCCCGCCCCCCCTGTGGGTGGGCAGGGGGGTGGGGGGGGTTGGTAGTAGTTAGTAGTAGTGAGTAATAGTTAGTGATAGGAATAGGTATGGATATACAGGAGCTATGTTCCCGCCCCCCCCTGTGGGTGGGTAGGGGGGGTTAGTACTGGTTAGTAGTAGTTAGTAGTAGTGAGTAGTAGTTCGTAGTAGGAATGGGTATGGATATACAGGAGCTATGTTCCCCGTCCCCCTGTGGTGTGGTGGGGGTGTGGTACTGCGGCATATATATATATATATGTAAATATGTATGTGTATATATATATATGTTTGCAATTAGCGCAAGGGGGGGTGATTGTATATATTTGTGTATGTATATATATATATATATGTATATTTAAATACGCATATGATATATGTGTATATATATAATTATATATACACACATGTATGTCATGTATGTATCTATAACATGTATACATATATGATCATATATGATCATATATGTAGGAAGTAGATACATAGCACATGTATAAATGACTATAGGTAGCACGTAGGTACTTTGAGGGAGTATGTGTGCTACGTAGGTCGTCTAAAAGGTAGCATGTACCTAGTAAATGCGAGGCTGGTAGTCAGAATCGCTGCAAAAACCTAGCAAATAGGAGGCTGGACCTCAGAAATGCTGCCAATAGCTTGCAAATAGAAGGGAAGGGGGGATGCTATCTGGGAACCCATCCCATTCTCGGGGGGGACCTCGCGGGCGGAAGACGGGATCATATATATAATATAGCATCCTATTCCCGTAATCACCTATCAACAGGGGGTTTTAAGCACTGCTACTGCTCAATTGTTGTCACTGAGGCTGCTAAAGCTGCTAAGGTCTGTATCAAAGCCTCCAGAGATCTCCAGAGACCAACTCCACGCCTGACCTATTGACCTATCCTTGCTCCGAGAGGCAGCTGTCGCATGCGCATCGCCTTCGACCTTTGAGGTGTAAGCAGAGCATCAAAAGAGAAACCAACAAAACCAATAGAAAAACCAATTGATAAAAATGATAAAACAAGGATAAACAAGGGATTCCTATGTGCCAATTGCACGACACAAGCAGAAAAAAAGGCCAACTATGTGTTGGCCTTCCATGTGGTTCCAGTTCGGTCAGTTGGGACATGGCATTGCGTGGTTCTTGCTGACAGCTACTTAGTTCAGCCGTTAAGCAAGTGTAGCATGAATAATATCATTTTCTCTCACTGCAATTTCTTCGAGCGCATTTCCTCATAAAGCGTCATAACAAACTTTGCACAAGGACGCTTAACAAGCGCCTGCTCAAACTCACTGAGAGCCCTGGGCCACTTGCCGCGCATCCGATCAAAGGCACCGTGAAATGATGTAAACCGACCATTCGCATATCGGCTTTTGGGTGCCCAGGCCAGGTGTGCCGCCAGCATCGGGGCAAGCAAAGCGCTCAATGTGATATCGACATGAGATAGGGAGGCCCCTGTGAGGTATTTTTGCTTGGAGAGGGTCTTATCAATGTCATCCAGAACCTGTTCAATCATCTCCCGACGTTTGTCCCGTACTTCCACGGAAGAAAGGTCGAATGCCAGGCGCATCATACTTTTGAAGACTGGACCAAAAAGGCGTAAAACGAGGCGGTGCACCAAAGGCACTTTTGGTTCAAACGCACCCCATGCAGTCAAACACCCCTCTGTGTCCATGTCACCTGCCAGGATATAGAAGTAGCACCAGCCTTGGACCAAGTGTCCCAATTGATTGAGCTTCTTGTTCCAGATCCTGGTTTGCTCATTACTCGCGAGGAAAGAAGCGGCCTTTTCACGAAGTTGAGAATCTTGAATCGTCGGGACATACACAGCACTCAAATATGCCTGGGTGCCGGTGCTTGTTGGATCCAGGAGAAGATGACTGCCCGTGCCCTTAAATACATACAGTAAGTGGGACATAATGAAAAGCACTGCACTTAAAGGGAGCGGACATGAGCGGGCGAATTGTTACCATTTAAAAACACACATACAAATTTGCAATTGATATCATTTGATATCGTTTGATATCGTTTGATATCTCCTTACATCGCACTGCTTTTAAATTCTGTTCTGTGTTCACAGAGCTTCCAGGCAAACGAAGTTTCTGGACACCGTGCTCTCAAGACTCACGACTCAAGACAGCAAACTTCTGAAAGTGCTTATGATGCATCCACTCGCAAAAACATGACAATAAAACACATATTGTTAATAAAATGACGTATACTTCACAGGCATGTGCACAGTTGTCCTGAAATGCAGGCAGGGTGCAATGCATTCGTCGCTATTTCCAATCATACTGCAGGATTTTCGGTCAATGAGGTGTGGCACACTGCGTCCACGCAAGAAAGCCGAGATCAGGCCACCCACAGTGAACTCCTCATAGTCTGCACCAATCAGATCAAGCACCCATCGCACCCTCTCTCCAAAATGGTTGATGGGCATAGCAATCAAGGCATACTGCGGCCTGTCTTTCTTGCCTTCCAGTGCATCAACTGCGTGATGGAAGAGTTTACGGTCTTGCAGGCCAACCCGAATGCCACCTAGTGTTGCTGGGTCTCCCCGGATGGCTCGAGCAGCAACTGCGGATGCCAAAACCACGAATGGCAAACAAAGAGCAACCTGTAGCACGGAGAAGTTGTAGAATGCGAAAACCAACGAGGCCCCGGAATGAACTAAAACCACGCAGGCAGCGATGGCAAGGGCAGAGTGAGGCTGCTCCATGGCTCAATCGAGGTCCTATGTGTGGCTGCCGGCTGTGTTTTCAATGAGCTGACACTGAGTGACGAAACCAGAATCCATGCGTCCTAGGAATCTCTTCTTGCGAAGAGGCTGTCACGCTAGCTTATAATGGGCCGTTCTACCAACTGATCTCAATAGCTTGCAAAGCTGGAACTTGCATTGAAGTGCTTGCTTGAACGAGTAAGCTTCTCTCATCTGATGCTTGTTTATAAGCCAAAATGCAGAATTGACATGTAACAGCTGCAAGCCTTACTCTTTTTGCCTCTGCCACCTTCCATTGAGGTGTACATTGAAGAACAGTGGAACATACGATGCAATCATTCGCCTTCTCTGTCTGTTGCTTCCCTGAGCTTCTCACAACTGCATATCTTGGCACCCTTCGCACGCGCTGCTTGAAGGCTGAAGCGAATAAAACCTGATCTGCTTCAAGAAACCCGATACTTGGACAATGAACAGGACATTGAAACGCTTGTCCTGTCTCCAAGTTAAGCTCCCCACATGATCTCGCACGGGTACGTGCACGCGCACAATGTCTGTTTCAAGAATAAACTGTAAAGATCTGTAAAGTCAGATGATGTCAGATCCTATTCTGGTCCAAAGGACAAAGGGAACAGCTCTGCATCCTGCGATTATCCGTGGCTCCACCCAGCTTCTTCGGAGCTTCGTTGTGGGCAGATTTGGCAGGCTAGCCCTCCAATGGTCACCGGCTACGAAGGGGATTGCGGCCATGGCAATCATACAATACCATCTGCATTTGTCTGCAATCTTTTGCAAACCTTAACAATCAAAGACCTTTTCAACACACCCTTTAGCCCCTGAAAATGTGACATTGCTTGACTTTTGCCTGATTTCCACAAGAATACTATTTTGCTTCCGTACTAAGAGCTTAGCAATCCGTTCCCCAGCTGCGGCTTCGATTGAGATAAGTAGTCCAGTTACCCAAGCTTGATTCTTATGTAGGGTCTGAGGACTCGTAGCCATCAGCTTCCTTATGCATGGTTCAAGCATAGCCGAAAAGCTTCGCAAACTGATACAAGCTGCGCAAACTGCAAAAATGCTCGGGTGTGGGGAACGAGCGCTGTCGTAATTGTTTGCCATTGTCTAACATCAATATGGGTTTCGAAGCCACATTGGCCAGTTGATTCGTCAAGGAATCCGCATGCCAGACTTATCTATACCGTGTGAGCCGCCCATTTCTTGAAAGGAAGCGCAAAACATGCGGTTCTGTCCAAGTTTCGCTCACTTTGAATGCCAGGACTACATTATTCAATATTAATCAATATTAGTCGATATTCATCAATATTAATCAATATTCTTAATCAATAATCAACATTATATATGCATTAATTATAATCATCTATACAAACAGCCTGGCCTTCCACGCTGTTGAGCGGCTTCACTGACCTAAGTCACAATCGCCCTTTCTTGCGATGGCAATTGGTAATCTAAAAATTTCAACCCGCAATCAAAATCCACAAATACTTTCCACAAAAATGCAAATCCAAGTTCGCAACACAAACTGACTGCCAGTGTAGTGGGCTTGCAGTGCTTCATGCACTTCTGCAGCTCTGGTTCCTGGTTGCAAGCGTTATGGCGGTTGAACGAAACAGAAGGAGCCACCAGCATCAACTAAACCAGGAATTTTGGTCAGTGAGGCCTATCAAACTGCAGACTAATGCTTGCAATGCAAGCACTTGAAAAGATCACCAAGAAATCTATGCAGCCAAACGTGCAACTCTAACGCTTGTGCACCTTGCATCAAATGATGTTTCACGCAATTCCTGCTAAGTTCCTCCAAAAAGCCATTGAGTGAAAGCCATGCAATTACGGACCGAGAAACACTTAAGTATCTTAAGTGAAGAGACAAACCAGGTCAATGGACTCGATTGAGAATAAATGCATTGTGAGTCACAGCACAGGAAAACAGTTTCATGTTCCAATGATTCCAATGCCCCAAATCCAGGACCGGTGTCCGTCACGCAACTGCGAGAAGCGTAGAGGCACTGACCTCGGAGTTGGAGGAAAGGATGATTTCTGACTCTGTGTATCGTTAAGCAATGAGTTAAGCAGAAAGAAGCAGACAACTTCAGACAGTGAACCAACCTATCCAAAATAGATCCCAATTGCGGAAGTGACATGCTCTTGAATTTAGTGTCTGGTTGGTGCCTCTTTGAAATTTGTTCTTCAGCCTCGCAGTATTGGGAGCTGCACATCAAATTGATTCTGCCCGTATAAATTTGCGGTGTTCAATTGCTGCTGCAGCTTAGCATCGCGATTGCCACTGGGCTTGAACACCGAGATGTTGCTTTCACATGCTTTCACCATGGACACATAAGACATCATAAAACTGACTTAGTCCAGGATCCATCTGCTGCCTGACTGCCTGTCAAATCTGTCAATAGCTAAGCTATTTTATTGTAAGCACCACTTAGAATAACAACCACAGCGGAAGTAGAGAACCAGTTTATCCAGTGACATCTCACCTCAAGTCTGGACGTGCAAGGTCCGGATTCCAGGCAAATGTTATGTTTTGAATAACCAGCGTAATTGGGATTAGTTGAGTGTATAACACAGTGTATCCGCCGACCCCGGCCTTCGCCAAGGCCGGGGCGGCGCCTGGGACCACCGCAGGTGTGGAACTTTTCCTTCTTAGCTTTCCAAGGTCAAACCACATCGCGTAAACCTTCTCCTGGCATGCGTCATCCTCCAGTTCAGATTTCCAGGCATTTGGACATGAAAATTATATGCTTTGGGCAAGTAAGTTTTCCTGCGGAAAATTTGGTCTTTCAAGGCCAAAGCAGCCGTTCCCGCATTCCCGTAGTAGCGGTTCAAGTCATCGACCTGATGAAGACGGCGGGGCCCGTCCTTTGCCTTCCGTGCGGGCACCAAACACGCGAAGGCGCCTGCGCCGGCTTCACCTGTGCAAGGCCTTCCGCGCGGGCTTTAAATGTGCGCGGCAGCTTCCACCAAGTTCCTGGCCGTCAGCGTTCCAGCATTGCAGCCTGCCCTTTGCCTGCACATAGCCCTGTCTTGTTAGGGCATTCGAGCCTGCCGTTTGCCAGCCTTCAAACGCTTAAAACCCCTAAAACCCCTAAAACCCTCCACCGGAGGTGTGGAACCGCGCCACCTGCCACCACCCTTACAATCCTCCAACTGCTGCATGGCTTCCTCGCGGCAGCTCCAGGGTTGCAGCCTGCCCTTTGCCTGCACCGTCAGCGTTCCAGCATTGCAGCCTGCCCTTTGCCTGCACATAGCCCTCTCTTGTTAGGGCATTCGAGCCTGCCGTTTGCCAGCCTTCAAACGCTTAAAACCCCTAAAACCCCTAAAACCCTCCACTGGAGGTGTGGAACCGCGCCACCTGCCACCACCCTTACAATCCTCCAACTGCTGCATGGCTTCCTCGCGCAGCTGCCACCAAGCCCTCTGGCCGTCAGCCTTTGCTGCTCCAGGGTTGCAGCCTGCCCTTTGCCTGCACATCGTTTGCCAAGCTTTAAACCCTTAAAACCCCTAAAACCATCCCTCGCGGCAGCTTCCACCAAGTTCCTGGCCGTCAGCGTTCCAGCATTGCAGCCTGCCCTTTGCCTGCACATAGCCCTGTCTTGTTAGGGCATTCGAGCCTGCCGTTTGCCAGCCTTCAAACGCTTAAAACCCCTAAAACCCCTAAAACCCTCCACCGGAGGTGTGGAACCGCGCCACCTGCCACCACCCTTACAATCCTCCAACTGCTGCATGGCTTCCTCGCGGCAGCTGCCACCAAGCCCTCTGGCCGTCAGCCTTTGCTGCTCCAGGGTTGCAGCCTGCCCTTTGCCTGCACCGTCAGCGTTCCAGCATTGCAGCCTGCCCTTTGCCTGCACATAGCCCTCTCTTGTTATAGGGCATTCGAGCCTGCCGTTCTCCTGGCATGCGTCATCCTCCAGTTCAGATTTCCAGGCATTTGGACATGAAAATTATATGCTTTGGGCAAGTAAGTTTTCCTGCGGAAAATTTGGTCTTTCAAGGCCAAAGCAGCCGTTCCCGCATTCCCGTAGTAGCGGTTCAAGTCATCGACCTGATGAAGACGGCGGGGCCCGTCCTTTGCCTTCCGTGCGGGCACCAAACACGCGAAGGCGCCTGCGCCGGCTTCACCTGTGCAAGGCCTTCCGCGCGGGCTTTAAATGTGCGCGGCAGCTTCCACCAAGTTCCTGGCCGTCAGCGTTCCAGCATTGCAGCCTGCCCTTTGAGCCTGCACATAGCCCTGTCTTGTTAGGGCATTCGAGCCTGCCGTTTGCCAGCCTTCAAACGCTTAAAACCCCTAAAACCCCTAAAACCCTCCACCGGAGGGTGTGGAACCGCGCCACCTGCCACCACCCTTACAATCCTCCAACTGCTGCATGGCTTCCTCGCGGCAGCTGCCACCAAGCCCTCTGGCCGTCAGCCTTTGCTGCTCCAGGGTTGCAGCCTGCCCTTTGCCTGCACATCGTTTGCCAAGCTTTCAACCCTTAAAACCCCTAGTTCCTGGCCGTCAGCGTTCCAGCATTGCAGCCTGCCCTTTGCCTGCACATAGCCCTGTCTTGTTATGGCATTCGAGTCTGCCGTTTGCCAGCCTTCAAACGCTTAAAACCTCTAAAACCCCTAAAACCCTCCACCGGAGGTGTGGAACCGCGCCACCTGCCACCACCCTTACAATAATCCAAATGCTGCATGGCTTTACTCGAGGCTGCCACGGCCTCACGGCACCGTCAGCCTCGGCTGCTCCAGGGTGCATTTGCGCCTCGCCCTTTCTGCAATCAGCCACACGACTATTGTTAGGGCATTCGAGCCTGCCGTTTGCCAGCCTTCAAACGCTTAAAACCCCTAAAACCCCTAAAACCTTCCACCGGAGGTGTGGAACCGCGCCACCTGCCACCACCCTTACAATCCTCCAACTGCTGCATGGCTTCCTCGCGGCAGCTGCCCCCAAGCCCTCTGGCCGTCAGCCTTTGCTGCTCCAGGGTTGCAGCCTGCCCTTTGCCTGCACATCGTTTGCCAAGCTTTA